CCCGCCATTCCCTACATGACAAGAGCAGGGCACTATACCCAGGAGTCCAAGCAGCACAGTTTATGCCCAACACCCACATGGAATTGGTGGACACACCACGGATAGTGACTGATTTATCACCAAATCACGTAAGCATTCTTCCCTTTATTCAGGGCCTTTCTTAAAAGGGGCAAAAAGTGGAGCAACACATAAAAGAAAAATGGGGGAGTGGTCCAAAATAGCCTGAGCGAAAACTGAGAACGGGAAGAGAGCTGACTGGCTAGAGGAAAAGGAGCAGGGACAGACGGGGGAGAACACTCACTCACTTCGTGGTCTTTAGGATTCTGATTGGCAAACATATCTAACACAGGTTGCACATCAGCTACTTCATGAGGAAACAGACGAAGAAATATTTTATATCCGCGAACCTACCAAATGAAAAAAATTCATATCATTATAAAAAATACAGTAGCAAGTTATTTTTTCCCCTACACATCAAAAATCACCATAAAAGCCACTCAATAATCGTTAATGACATCATGGTACAGGAATATAACCTAGTAAGACTAAAGGAACATTAAGTTAAAATCTCCCAATCCATCCCAACACTTATCTGTCAGTTTGTCATACTGTGGTGGCTAGTGTGTTACTATGATGCTGGAAGCTGTGTCGCTGGTATTTCAAACACTAGCAGGGTCCCCCAAGGTGAAAAGGTCTCATGGAGCTTCCAGACTAAGAGCAGACTACACAGAAGGGATCTGCTGCCCATCTGGGAGGAGGGAGCTGCTGAACACCTTATGCAGAGCATGGAAACAGTGTCAGGTGCTGAAGGCCTAATGAATGGAAGCGGAACATAGTCAGAACTGGTGCCAGAGGGTGAGTCCCTTGGGGCAGAAGCAACCTGAAATGTGACTGCGGGGGAGCTGCTTTCTCAAGGTTCACCACAGTGACATGAATGGAGTAAAACCTGTGGGAGTGAAGCCTTCAGGATCTTCATTTGCTGATGGGGCACAAGTCAAGCTGAGAAGAAACAGCTGCAAAAATCTAATAAAAAATATACAAAGTATGAGGGGGTATCCCCAAAGAACCGGAATTGCACTGGGCAAAGTGGAGCTTTCATAATACGCCTTCCACCCCCCTCTGCCCCACTAGGGGAGCACTGAGCAACCCCATCTTAGTGCACCAGGGGTGTCACCTGAGGTGGTTCTCTCTGGTCACAGTGAATTTTTTCATAAAAGCCATTTCACTCAAACATTTTTCTGTGATGGCCAATTTAAGAGAATAGCGTGTGGCCATGAAATTTCATTTCCTGCTCAGAAAACATGCTGCAGAAACTGTTGTAATGTTGAACACAACTTACAAAGACAGCGCTATTGGAAAAAAAATTAAGTGTACAAGTGACTTTCTCATTTAAAAAATGTGAAATATCGATAGAGTAACAATCTCGCTCTGGATGTCCATCAACTTACCAGACAAAAATATGGACAAAAATGCGTGGACTTGTGCTCAAAGACCCACAAGGGTCCCTTGAAGAGATGGGGGAGTTTTCTTGACTATCTTGGAGCTGGGTTCAATGGAAGATTTGGGAATGAGAAGGATCGCTGCAAAATTTGTGCCTCAGGTTCTGACTCACCAGGGAAAAGATCACCAACTAGAAACATGCCATGCTTTGAAAGAACAGCTCCAAAGTGGCCCACACTTTTTCCCCAAGGTCACTACTGGTGACATGGTGCTATTCTTCCAACCCGAAAGCAACATCAATCCAGCCAGTGGAACATGCCATTGTCACCTCGCCCAAAAAAAGCTTGTCAAGTGAAATCAAAGATCAAGAGGATGCTCATTTGGTTTTTTGATAGTGCATTTGCAGTTTGTTCCACCAGGTCAGACTATTAAGCTTTCTATTTAGAGGTTCTGAAAAGATTGAGTAACAGTGTACAACTAAAAAAAAAGGCCTGATTTGTGGCAGATGTGGGACTGGTTTTGCCACCAGGACAATCCACCTGCTCATGCAGCCATCTCGGTGCACCAGTTTTTGGCAAAATACAGCACGCCTCTCTTGCCCCACGTACGTTACTCACCCGACACCCTTCCATGTGACTTTTTTGTTTCCTCAAAGAGGGGCATAAAAGGATAGCCATTTGACACAGAAAAAGTGAAGAAAAATAAGAGGGAGGTGCTGTCAGCCATCCAAACAGAGGAGTTTGAAAAATATTGCCAAGAATGGAATCGCTGGGAGGAGCCTTGTGGTGTAGTAGTTACGCACTGGGCTTCTAACCACAAGAACGGAATCTCAGATTTGACAGATGTATTAAGTGTAATGGAGAGTACTCTGAAGGTGATAAGGTGTTTTGTAAAAAAATTTAAATACGTAGCTTTTGGGGGGAAAAAACTTTTGTTTTTTTAGTAACCCCCTTGTATGAATCTAGAGAATTTAGAAATCATGAAAAATTAAATGGAACACATAAAAATTGCTATCTTGGGTGTAGTGAGCTGAAATGGACTGGTTTTGGCCAATCTGAATCAGAAAATCACATGGTCTACGCAGGGACGCTCACACCTTGTCAGCATGCGAGCTACTTATAAAATTATCAAGTCAAAAAAAAAATTATCAAGTCAAAATGATCTACCAACTACAAAAATGCAAAATATATATATATTTTTTATTTATTACATGTATTCATAAATGCATTGAGAATTCTTTATATGTACAATGTATGTTTATGTACCTTGCATAACTGCATGAGTCCATGTTGCACAACACAACACAATTAACTATGTACATTTTGTTATTACCTGAGTTTACTCTGATGACGTGCACTGAATGGAATGAGTCAGGGATGCATAGTCCGGAGAGAAGCTGCTGACAGCCAGCCTCAAGCACACCTCCAAATGATCATCAGTCGTGGCGGAACGGTACTTGGACTTAATGATTTTTATGTGGGAAAAGGCTGACTCACATAAATAAGTAGAGCGAATCATGCAGTCAAGGAGGTAGCACATTTTCTCATGTTTGGGTACTTTCCCTCTGCGAGTACGTTCCAGAAGAGTTCATGCGCTCTGGACTTCAGCTGAATGTCGGCTTGTAGTGTCAAAATCTCCCGTTCCGTAGGAAAGTGATAACGTTTTTGTCTTCTTACTTGGTCCAGCTCCCCCACTAATTTTAATACCCTTTCTTACACTTAACAGAAAAAAGCAAGGTCTAAAAATTGGCAGTAACTTAGCTTGTCAGTTTTGCTGCACTCAGCACAGTTGTTTGCGCATGCATTTGACACCTAAGATTGCATCTGATTGGCTATGCTGTGTATTAATTAAGTGACAGGATGGATGATAGGCTTTCGTCTATTTTTTTAATGCCAAGCAATCTACCCACACTACATTAGTGATCTACTAGACGATCGCGATTGATGTATTGAGCAGCCCTGGTCTACTATATGAGGAATGACACAATCAAGAGAAATGGAGTTGCATTAATCACTTTAAGATCTATCTTGAAAGGCAATGCTATCTGTGATAGGATTACATCTATCCCCATTCATAGAAATCCAATCAATACAGCTATTATTCAAATTAATGAGGCAACAATGAAAGCCAGTAATGAAGAAACTGAAAAATTCTACCAACATCTTCAGTCCAAATTTGACCAAACATGCAATCAAGATGTATTGACAATTATTGGTGATAGGAATACAAAAGTTAGAAACAAAGAGAAAGGAATAGTAGTTGGAAAATATTGTTTTGGTGATAGAAATGAAGCTTGAGCTCAAATGATAGAATTTTGCCAAGATCACTGACTTCTTCAGAGCAAACACCTTTTTCAACAATACAAAAGGCAACTACACACATGAATTTCTCCAGATGGAATATACAACAATCAAACTGACTACATCTGTAGGAAGAAGCATTGGAGACGCTTAATATCAGCAGCTAAAACTAAGCCAGGAGCTGACTGTGGAGCAGACCGTCAATGGTTCAGATCCAAGTTCAGGTTGAAGGTGAAGAAAATTAAAAGTGTGCCAAAATATGACCTTGAGTCTATCCCACCTGAATTTCAAGAACTCAAAAACAGATTTGCTACTTTAAATACTAATGACAGAAAATCTGATGAAGTGTGGGAGGACATTAAGAATATCATGCAGGAAGAAAGCCAAAGATTATTAAACAAGCAAGAAAGAAAAGATCAAAGTGGATGTCAGAAGAGTCTCTGACACTGGCTCTTATTGTAGAGTGGTTAAGGTAAATGAAAGAAGCTATGAAGTCAAAAAACTAAACAGAAATTTTCAAAGGGCCGCTCAAGACAAAGTCAAATATTTTAATGAAACGTGCAAAGGCATACAGTTAGAAAAGTAAAAGGAACACTCTCACATATCTTAAACTGAGAAAAACTAAAGAAAAAAAAATCAAGCCTCAAGTTACAATATGGAAAGATTCAATGGGAAAAACATTGAATGATGCTAAAAGCATCAAGAGAAGATAGAAAAAATATTATATAGTCTTAATTAGTGTACGCTATTTTACCTTTCTAATTTCTAATATCCATTGGCTACACTGACAACTCACAGACAAAATTCATGATTAAAGGGTTTCTTAAGGAAGTTAATAAATTTTAACACTCAGGGTAATTTTTTAGTAAGATATGTTACAAAGTTTCAGGTCTGCCAATAAATGCCCAAGATCCAAACCACTCTGCTGTAAGCCCCAGCGCAAGGGCATTCAGCTCAAGCTCCTTAGGTTAGCAAATCCAACTTCCTAAATTAAGTGCCCAGTGGCACCCCACTCTGCAAACCAACCTCCTGCACAAAAACACTCATCTTCACTTGCTCCATGGGTTGGGAAGTCCATCACTCTGTTCCATGCCCTGGTTCCTGGTTCTGCTGCTGCTCCTCTGATGTTATAGCAGTCTCCTGGACTCAGGAAGTTCACTGCTCAAGGATCTCAGATCCAGAAGACTTGCTCCACTTCTGGCTCTTGCTGACAATGAGATCCCTTCCTCCTGCTTCTCAGAGAGCTTATTTTATACACGGGAGCATGCCACTCAAGGAAGCCTGCTTATAATTACTCACGGGTGAATCCTATAAGTATCTTCCCCAGCTTCTTGGCAGACCTGCTCAAGAAAAGGTCGTTTGTTAGGAGTTAGAAACTTTGGCTAGGGGAACCACATTAAATAATTCACTGGCCTGGCAAATACACAGTCACTGTACCAAAAAGAACTATTCAACATTCACCCATTTCAAGAGGTAGCATATGAGCAAGAACCGATGGTACTGAGGGAAGAAGCTTAAACTTCACTGAAAGCATTAGCCAAGAATAAGGCTCAGGTATTGATGAAATGCCAATTGAAATGTTTCAACAAGCTGATAAAGCACCTGAAGCATTCACTCTTCTATACCAAGAAATTTGGAAGATAGCTAAGCAGACAACTGACTGGAAGAGATCCCTATTTCTAACCATTCCAAAGAGGTGACCCAACATAATGCACAAATCATAGAACAATTACCATTAATATCACATGCAAGTAAAATTTTGCTGAAGATCACTCAACAATGGTTCCAACAGTACACTGACAGGGAGCTGCCAGAAGTTCAGGCCAGGATGTAGAAGAGGTTCAGAAGAGGATGCGGAACAAGGGTTATCATTGCTGATGTCAGATGGATCTTGGCTAAAAGCAGAGTACCAGAAAGATGTTTACTTGTGTTTTATTGACTATGCCAAGACATTTGAGTGTGTGGATTATAACAAACTTTGATAGCCTTAGAGGAAAATGGGAATTCCAGAACACTTCATTATGCTCATGTGAAATTGGTACACAAATCAAGAGGCAGTTGTGTAAACAGAACAAGGGAATACTGCCTGATTTAAAATCAGAAAAGGTGTGTTTCAGTATTGTATCCTCTCACCACACTTAATAAATGTTTACGCTGAGCAAATAATGAGAGAAGTTGAACTATATGAAGAAGAATGAAGTATCAGGATTGGAGTAAGGCTTATTAACAACCTGCAATAAGCAGACAATGCAACCTTGCTTACTGAGAGTAAGGACTTGAAGCACTTGCTGATGAAGATCAAGGATTGCAGTCTTCAGTATGGATGACAACTTAATGTAAAGAAGACCAACATCCTCACAACTGGACCCATAGGTAACATCATGATAAATGGAGGAAAGATTGAAGTTGCTATGGATTTCATCTTGTGTGGATCCATAAGCAATGCTCATGGAAGCAGCAGTCAAGAGAGTAAATAATAAATTAAAAAAAAAAAAAACGAGTTTCCATGATGACTGAAGATGGCACCGCAAGGTGAGATCCCAGAGATAACGCTTGTCCCCCACGACCCTGGAAATCCTCTTCTTTCTGAACGGCTGGTATTACGCTACCTACTTCCTGTTGGAACTCTTCCTATTTCTGTATAAAGGCCTCCTACTCTAGTTTTGGATGAGGTGATGCTCCTGCTTTATCTCGGGATTGAAGTTATCCAGCTGTTCTTCAGTACAAAGGGAAACTTCTGCCAACGAAAGATGCCCCTTGGCATTAGCGTGGCTTTGACCTTCCCATCCGCCATGATGGCCGCCTACTACCTGGGGCTGCAGACCTACGTGCTCCATCTGGAAACCATCATGAAGGCATCCTGCTCCTCTGCTGTGGCCCAGAGCTGCTGCTCGAGGGGCTCACCCTGTCCACTTTCTCCAGTATGGACAGGATTTGAAGCACGAACATGTCAGCCAGCAGTCCACCCTGGCTTCTGGTTCTGGAGCCACCCCAGTGGAAATTGGTGGCTCTCACTGCCCTGGGAGTGGTTGGTTGCAGCTTTCCCTCAGGAGAGAGAGTTTGGCAGCAAACCCAGCACCGAGCCCCAGCAGACTGGTATACTCCCGCACAGGGCAAGGGACCGCCCCCAGCCTCGGCCCTTCTCAGAACCAGTTCTCTGCTGACCTCAAGTTCTCCTCTCTGACCACCGTGGCCGGAGTATCCGTGGGAACCATCTAAGCTTCGCAGGCTGCCAGAACCTGGGCCGCTACTGGCTGTGGGTGCTGGGCTGCCCCCGTTCCACGAGCATGGAGCCCCAAGGTGCAGCCCAGAATGGCAAAGCAGCTCCAGAGCTTTTTTAGTAGCTGAGTGTGTTATTTTTCTACTCCCATCATGAAACAACGGCGATTTTATAATAAATGTGTATTTTCTGTTAAAAAACAAAACAAAACATTGCATTTGGGTAAATCTGCTGCACAAGACCTCTTTAGAATATTGAAAAGTAGGGTGGTTACTTTGAGGATTAAGGTGCACCTGACCCAAGCCTTAGTATATTCAATCACCTCAAGTGCATGTGAAAGTTGGGCACTGACTAAGGAAAGCCAAAGAATCAATGCATTTGGATTGTGGTGCAGGTAAAGAATATTAAAAGTACCATGGACTGTCAAAGGGACAAACAAATCTCTCTTGGAAAAAGTATGATCAGAGCGCTCCTTAGTGGCAAGGATGGCGAGATTTCATCTTCCATACTTTGGACATGTCAGGGGAGACAAGTCCCTGGAGAAGGACACCATGCCTGGTAAATTAGATGGGCAGTGAAAAAGGGGCAGACCCTAAACAAGAAGGGCACACGCAGTGGCTGCAACAATGGGCTGATGCATAGGAAGAATTATGAGGCTGGCACAAGACAAGGCAGTGTTTCGTTCTGCTGTGCACAGGGTCACTGTGAGTTGGAACCTACTCAATGGACCCTAACAACTCCAACTCCTTCAGTTATTTCATTTATTAACTATGTATGTCTTGTCCTAATCTAACCAATCTCACAAAAGGCTCAACAGAGATACAAACTGAAAACCATACCACCTCATCTACAGGACTGTCCCAAGATTTAGGAGCAACAAGTGCCCAAGGACCTCAAAGGTCCCCAAACTCACTGACCTTTCTCCATATGCAGCAAGCTACACACAGTTGGATCCTGCCCTGTAACCTGAGCTGCAGGGCAGTGTGTATCCCAGGCCTCTCTCCACCACATAGCAACAAGGCTGCAACAACCCCAAGAGACACAACCCCACCCCGAAATCCTCCAAAGTCTTCCCCTGGGCATACACCAGCATCCCCTGGAAGCTTAAAGAAATGTAGAGTTGTAAACAAGCGGCCATCTAGCTCAGAAGCAACAAAGCCCACATGGAAGAACATTATCAGCCTGTGTGATCACGAGGTGTCAAACGGATCACTGAAGACAAATGGGTGCATAAGCAAATGTGGCGAAGAAAGCTGATGGTGCCCCGCTATCAAAAAGTATAGCGTCTGGGGTCTTAAAGGC